ACCTCCTGTTTCAGTTTTACCACCACACGCTTTGCAGATCTCAAACTGGTGGCTGTGTTCAGAGCCACCATTGCGGCCAAGCCGAGTATGCAGAGTAAACGCTAGGGGGCACCACTACCAAACGAATGCTTCTCCTGGAGTTGGGCAGTGCAGAATTTGCACAGCCGTGCTTGGTAGCCCTGCCTTTCCTTATTCTGGTTTAGGTGCTGGATTTAAGGAGCCCTTATTTTTAATTTCTGCAGCAGGAGCAGTTTTCATCCAGGAAATTATATTAAATTAAAATACACAGGGGTATAAAGAACAATGAAAAAATACTCCCTAGGTGACACAACTGTATGTATTTGTCAAAATTTAGAACTCTGGCCGTAGTCGGTTTGGCTCAGTGAATAGAACATTGGCCCAGGGTCTGACTGAACGGTCCCAGGTTCAATTCTGGTCAAGGGCACATGCCTCGGTTGCAGGCTTAATCCCCAGCTCTGGTCAGGGCCCGTGCATTTATTTCTCTCTTTTTGTCTCCACACATTACCCCCCCCCCCCCCGCCCTTTCTACTCTCTCTAAAAATCCATGGTAAAATATCCCCAGGTGCAGATTAACAACAACAACAAAACAGAACTCTGCACTAAAAAGAACAGATGTTATATGTATGTAAATTATATCTTAATGGAAAAAAATTAAGATCATGTTACGCCCAGACTTCGTGATCCTCAAGGACCACCAGGGAGCCGAGTCCAATGCAATAAACAAAAGAGCCTGTTCCATGCTAACATGGGCTCCTCCCACTCACGCCGGCAGCATGGCGGAAGAGAGAGCGAATTTCGCCCAGTCCAGGGTTTTTACTCCGGTCAGTGGTGATGTCACTGCCTCGGCTAACCCTGATTGGTTGGGTGAGGGCTAGGGATAACTCCGCCCTGCGGGGCGGAGTTGGGAGCTCATCCTCGCCCCGCCCTGCCCTTTCAATCACACAATATGAAAAAGCCTTAGAGCTTAATAAACCATAATGATCATCACTCACTATTCAACCCTTCACAAATCAGAAAAAGCACATTAGTCAGACATTAATAGGATTGCCTATCCATAAAACTAAAAATAATAGTAAGCAAATTAACTCCAGAATCAACAAAATTTTTGATAAACTTGTTTGTGGTATGTGTGTGTGTGTGTGTGTGTGTGTGTATGTGTATATATATATATATATATATATATATATATATATATATATATATATGAAGTGCTAATATGCTAAGTGTCCCTCTGATCATCTGACTGGTCACTATGATGCACACTGGTCACCAGGGAGCAGATGTTCAGCACAGGAGCTGCCATGATGCACACTGGCCATTTACAAAGAAACAGCACCATAGATCTGGCGCCGACAAAGCTTCACTCAGCTTCCCCCAAGTGGGACACAGGCCCTGCCACCACCCCAGAGTGACAGCCCACCAAATTGCAGCCAATGCTGCCAAGACCCTATGCTCAAAATTCGGCCTACAGCCCAGACCAGCCCGGAACATTTGCTGGGGGTGCTGGGTAATGATGTCACATAGCAATGCCAGGCTTCCTCTCCCTAGCAACTAGCCTTCGTGGTGTTTCTTCAGCCCAGGAACACAACTTGCTTTATAGCCAAGTGCAAACATTTTACACTTCAAGCAATGTCTGTGAAGCATTTTCTCGTGCCTCATTTCAGTTGATCCTCACAGAAGTCCTGGAGTAGGTAAATAGGAGACTCAGTAGAATCCTATTTTCTTTTCATTATCTGGAAAATGGAGATTTAGAAAGTTTAGAAACTTGACCTGACTGAAAAGAAGTAAGAAATGGTGGACCTTGATGACTTCAGGTTTTCTCACTACGTAGACTATAGTCAAACACTGCTGCAGTTAAATATTTTACCCTTTGTTCTGCCTGCGTGATCTATAATAATAATAATCTGCTTCGTGTTGATATTTACTACTGTGTTTCTGACAGATACCTGAAAGAGAAGTTGACCTCACTCAGGCCACCCTACAGCCCAAGGGAACCCCCACCCTGATCCAGGACATCCTTCAGGGCAAGCCAGCCGGCCCCCACCCATGCACCAGGCCTCTATCCTATGTAATAAAAGAATAATATGCAGATTGACCATCACTCCAACATACAAGATGGCTGCACCCATGTGATCAAAGATCCTGTGTGAACATAAGATGGCCAGCAGGGGAGGGCAATTGGGAGGGACCAGGCCAGCAGAGGAGGGAAGTTGGGCGTGACTGGGCATGCAGGGAAGGGCAGATGGGGGGGGACCCAAGCCTGCAATGGATAGCAGTTGGGGGATGGGGGGACCAGGCCTGCAGGGAAGGGCAGTTAGGGGTGACCAGGCCTGACGGGCAAACAGGCTGGCAGGGGAGCAGTTAGGCATCAATCAGGCTGGCAGGGGAGTAGATAGGGGGTGATCAGGCTGGCAGGCAGAAGTGGTTAGGGGCAATCAGGAAGGCAGGCAGGCAAGTAGTTGGGAGCCAGTAGTGCTGGATTGGGATCAGGCCTAAATGGGCAGTTGGACATCCTGTGAGAGGTCCCAGATTGGAGAGGGTGCAGGCTGGGCTGAGGAACACCCCAACCCCTTTGCACGAATTTTGTGCACCAGGCCTCTAGTGTGTGTGTGTGTGTGTGTGTGTGTGTGTGTGTGTGTGTGTATAGCTAAGTTGACTTGCGCATGTGTGATACATATAAAGCTCTCACTGGCGCCAATTTCATGCGTTTCTTTTCTTTTTTAAAAAATATATTTTTATTGATTTTTTTACAGAGAGGAAAAGAGAGGGATAGAGAGTTAGAAACATCAATGAGAGAGAAACATTGATCAGTTGCCTCTTGCACACCCCCCACCGGGGATGTACGTGCAACCAAGGTACATGCCCCTGACTGGAATTGAACCCAGGACCTTTCAGTCCGAAGGCCGACACTCTATCCACTGAGCCAAACCGGTTTTGGCTTTATTCATGTTTCAATCTGTCATTGTCAATCGTGAATTTGGTTGACACTTCCATTATAGAGAAATGGTGAATAGCCATATTAAAATATTTCTTCTACTCAATTTCCTTTCGATGTGCATAAATTCATGCACTGGCCACTAGTTTCTCAATAAAAGATCAGGAAGTCTGATTGGCTTTTTTCACCTAAGTTGAGTAGTGGCCAATTGTATGGCATTCTGTGTGAGTACAGGATAAATCTAACCATTCTGGTGAGCATAATGGAAGTACTCTGACTTTGGATGATCTGTGTAGAGAAGTGATATTCTGATTTTAGTAGTATGCTGCAAATAGCTATTCCACGTGAAATATCCTCACTGTAGTTTTCAAAGGAGGATATTTGATTGGAGCATGCTTGCCTGTAGCTGCATTATTTGTGGTTGTGACTCATCACAGATGTGGCCCAGACCTACCTGTAGCCATACTGACCAGACCTGTGACCTACAGGTACAGATGTCCAATGTACAGATTTGGGAATAAAAAGTTTGAGTACAAGTGTATAAATGACTGCATCTGCTTTTGTGCCCCCTATACTCCCCCATTTCCCAGGAGTGCAGAAGTGGAAGACCTGGGGTTTAGCCCACAAGTATGGCTGCGAGCAGTATATGACAGGTTTAATTCCTGCTCCATAACTACACTGTCATCAAGATAAGACCTTAAGTCCTCTTTGAGTCTAGCTACCAAATGAGTCATGGGGAGATGTGTCTTGTCTTGCAGATGTGCAGAAACTGCTGGACATTGGTCCTGTTGCTGTTATGATAGGCTGGCACTTACAGAGACAGTTTTCGGTTTGGGAGTTTTTCTAGCTTTGGGCCACTCACTGCACCCTCCTCCTCCCCTCACCTAGGTTTTCCTTACTTGTTCATGGTGCCTATGGCCAGCTTTGCTCAGGATGTTCCGTGCATGCGTAGTGTGCTCATGTACAAAGACACATAAGTACTCTCTTTCCTAAGCTAGGGAGCGTAACCCCTGCAGATCTTAAGACTTCAGGGAGAAAATAAAAAGGTAGATATATTCACGAAGGGGCTGAGAACACCAGACTTTAGCATGAAATGTAGATCTAAAAAGAAAACTAGAATTGCCTATGAGGACAAGTTTTGCAAAAGGTAGAGTATCTTTTATATTAGGAAATATAATTTAATTTAAAATTCTACAAAATGTGAAATGTTAAATACCCAATGTACAGTATTTGTACATTAATGAAATATTTTGCTTTGGTGCAAGATTTAGTTTTAGGACTTTTAAGACACGATCAACTTTAAATTGGTCCAGAGATTGGAAATACTCTATCTCATAGAGTCCAATTATTACTATTGGGTTGTGTTTAAGAAAAAACAGGATTGTCAACATGAGGGGAATAAAATCAGTGTCTTAATAAACTCTTGAAACACTCAGAACTTTTATTTTGTTTTTTTATTAATCCTTACCCAAGGATATTTTTCTCATTGATTTTTAGAGAGGGTGGGAAAGAGGGAAAGGGAGGAAGGGTGGGGGGGAGGAGAGAGAGAGAGAGAGAGAGAGAGAGGAAGAAAGGAAGAGAGGAAGAGAGGAAGAGAGAGAGAGAGAGAGAGAGAGAGAGAGAGAGAGAGAGAGAGAGAGAGAGAGAGATCAATTGCCTCTTGCACGAACCCAGGGATCAAACCTGCAACCTACATACATTACCTTGACCTGGAATGAAGCTGAGGCCAGGGCAACACTCAGAACTTTTTAAACACTCCGCCTTAGCAGGCATCATCTGAATAATTGAAGCATGTTCGTGTCAAGATTGCTTAGCTATTTAGAAAGCCATAAAGATTATTAACAACTTGTAGTTTAAAATAAAGCAGGAACAATGAATATAGCAAGAGGTGATGAAAACAAGTACACCTCTGTCAAATTCGTAGGAGACACCAGTCAGAATCGCCCTTTCCATGGAATCGGGTCAATGAAACTGAATGCAAGGTTTGCTGGCGGTGGGCTCTTCTTAGGCATGTCTGTCCCACACCCAGTCAGCAGAGAACTCGTTGTAGTGTAAACTCAGTATTTTCATCAGTGTGATTGATCCTCACAGTTTCAGGAAATGAAAGTCAGATACCATGCTTCTCTTCAAAGATTTGAATAAGTAAAATAAACATGAGCCATTATGACATTTATTCTATATTAACAGTCAGTTCACGTATTAATTCAGGTCGAAACCTTTTTACTAGAGGATTATTTCTTGAATATTAGCATCTGATCCACAGTAATAATAGTACTAATTTTAATGAGAAATACAATATGGAACTTTTTATAACAGCTCACCCACTTAACATTTTACAGACAAAGAACTACTATAAATATGTAACATTATGCAGGCATTTTTCTGCACCTGCTCACAAACCAGAAGGAATATACCGTTTAACTAGTTAGAAACGGAATGCTTTCAAGCTGCCCCTGTATTTCTATGGCCACTTCCCACACCAGATAAAATTGTTTTTCTCTTTGTTCTCCCCTCCAAGGCCCTGGTAATGCAGCCTTCATTGCCTGGGGCTCTCTGCCTTCACTCCTGTCCCGGGGCTGTATGGACTGCTCCCTTGGTTGACAATGCTCTTGGAGGGCAGGCAGCCTGTCCCCTTTATCAAAGTGTTTGGTGTATGTTATACCCAACTCAGGTTGCATCAAGTTGAATTTAATTGGGACATCTAAATTTGATGTCGTTTCCTTCTGTTACATTTTTATAACTAAATAGAGATCACTACAAAAATTCTTTTAAGAAATGTACCATAAAGTCTATGCATTGAAATTGTGAATTCTGTAAAATAAGAAACGTCATGTCATACAATAAAACACAGGAATTTGTAAAGAATTCTCTAAATCTTAAATGATCGGCAGGAAAGTCAACTGATGTATTAAGTGTCAGATAAAATTAGAAAGACTTTTACAAGGTTGAGTAAAGTTGACATTTAAAGGATCTTTTCAATGGGATTCTAAAGTTTAACAATTTTTTTTTTAAAAAAAAATTCTGCTATTAACCCTGAAAAACATATTTCTTAACTGCAAAAAATAAGGCAACTTGAAGTTAGAAATTGATGAAATTAACTCAGAGTTGCATGCCCTGTTATGACCCCTATCGTTAAAAGTCTTTAGCGGGAAAGCTATTCACACATAATGATGAAAAAAAGTCTCTCAGAAATAAATCCGTTTCTAAGACTCTACTAAATAGAAGGCCAATTAAGATCATCACAGACTCCGAGCTGTCAAATAGTTTACCTTGGAAGAAAATGATGCAGTTTTTCTGAAGAACTCCATGTGTGCCACGTGTTTGTTATTCTTTGAAGTGGAGGAGGTGGCAAGGAACATAATTTCTGTTTGGAAGTTCTTTTGTTTTCTGCTACCTTTACCTAAGTGCTACCAGATGCTATTTTTATGTCCTATAAAGTTCTGTAAGGAAATATTAAGTGAAAAATGCTACATAAACTAGAGGAGAGTTTCATATTCTCTGGGTTGAAAAGCAAATTGAATAAACACTTGATTCTTAAAAGGGGGGAAGATGATGCTGAAAACTTAACAAGCATCCAGTAAGCCAACCAGCTTGAAAACTTCTGAGTTCAAAGAGAAACTGAATCCCACTAATTAATAAATGTTCACTAAAGACAACACTTCAACCACAGCAAATTTAAATGAAAATGTGCTATAAATTGCCTTTTAAATGATCATGTTACTGTTGTTAAAGGATTGTGAATGAATAAGAACCTATTTATATTCATTTAATGCCATACATATACAGTCCAATTGCTTAAAATACCATTATAATAAAAAGTTTTGAGAGATTTCTAAGTCATCTGATTCCAAATTATTTCTATAACAACAAAACAATTTGGATCACCTTAGAATTCACTGTAGTAGGATTTTGCACGTCAAAGATATAATCAGGTTGAAACCAACTAATATCTTGATTTCTTTTTCAAACTGGAATCCTACTTATTAATTCACCAGATATTTTCAGTAGCAAAGATTGAGGAGAAACCACTTAAGAATGAGTGCAAGTAGCTCTCGCTGGTTTGGCTCAGTGGATAGAGCGTCAGCCTTAGGACTGAAGGGTCCCAGGTTCGATTCCAGCCAAGGGCACATGCCAGGTTGCAGGCTTGATCCCCAGTAGGGGGCGTTCAGGAGGCAGGCAATCAATGATTCTCTCTCATCATTGATGTTTCTATCTACCTCTCCCTCTCCTTTCCTCTCTAAAATCAATAAAAATAGATTGAAGAAAAAAAAAAAAAGAATGAGTGCAGGTAGAGTACACTTGTCATAAAAACAATCTATTATAATATTCTAATAAAATATATATATCAAACTATTGATACAATGTGGGGTGGGGGCGGGGGCAGAAACACAGCACTAGATAAAAGGTTAATTTCTTAACAAAAAGTTCATTACACATATTTACCTAGTATCCAGTTTTAAAACTCCTAAATAGCCGAAACCAGTTTGGCTCAGTGGTAGAGCGTCGGTCTGCGGACTGAAAGGTCCAGGGTTCGATTCCGGTCAAGGGCATGTACCTTGGTTGCGGGCACATCCATTGTAGGGGTTGTGCAAGAGGCAACTGGTCGATGTTTCTCTCTCATCGACGTTTCTAGCTCTTTAGCTCTCTCCCTTCCTCTCTGTAAAAAAAAAATCAATAAAATATATTTTAAAAAATAATAAAACTCCCAAATAAATACACCTAAACCTTTCAAATATTTTCAAACTATTTCAATAAGTGGTGTACTTTTTGCTCAATTATGAGAGATTAAAAACTTACAATGCAAGGTATTGGCTTGAGGCATCTTGCAGTAAATGAAGGCAGGATTCTTCAAAACACTGTAAAATGTACCAACCTCAGTCAGGTTTTCTAAATTGTTCACTTTTAACTATATGGATATTTGCTGGGAGCTGTCCACATCCATTAGCACCACAGATAGTAAACTAAAAAGAAATACGTTTAGGGAGGATGACTCAGCCATCTTTTAAAATAGGGGTGTCGAACTCAATCAGAGAAGGGGCCAAAATCTAAAATCCAGCCTAAATCGCGGGCCGAATGGTTTACTGAACAGTCATTGTGATGGAAACGCAGCGGAGTGCAGTGATGACAGCGCGGTGTGGGCCACATTGCAAGGCCTGGTGGGACGGATTTGGCCCGCGGGCCTTGTGTTTGACACGTGTTTTAAAAGAATGTTTAAAAGTTAAACAAGTAAAAGAAACTGGTGTTCTGGGTCATGTGTTTTGGAAGATCCACTTTTCGTCTTGTTGGCAGAAGGATTTGGGTGGGTTGCCCCGAAGTTTACAAGCATGAAGGCAGGAAAATCTTCATGCTTCTCAGCAAAGAATCTCACTGATAATAGTTCAGTTCCAAAGGCAGATTAGGTTCCTCTGCCAGAGGTCTCAACACGTACTTACAGGAGGGAAGAAAGAGGATTATACAGGACAAATTAGCACATACTTCCTATATGCAATCCATAAATAATTCACGAAGTCACAAGATCATTTAAAATCATCTCCTGTACATCCTTCCCCCCCCCCCCCAGGAATGTACAAATGCTCTTTGGCAAACACTGTACAACTCCAGTGAAAGCTCTTCCTTACCTACTTTTAGAATAACACTGTCACTCAACCTGAACAGTGGGGGACTGTACAGTCGGAAGCCCAACCTGAGAGGTAAGGAAGTACATTATAGTAGTATGGCCACAAGAAAAGATTAAAATAAAACCCCTTTTTCAAAAAGGATGGCAATCACTGATTAGATGGATGAGTTCAGTAACTGAATAAAATGCAAATAAGCCCTTCTCATTGTTATAAGTTCATTTTTTTTGTAAGGAATTAGCTGTACTGTAAAAAAATGATGAAGAATGTAATTTCCAATGTCCATGTGAAATGTTTTTTCCTAGTGTCTCAACACACAGGCACAATGAAAGAATACGGATGTTTAAAATATACTGTGCTTTAGCAATGTTTTACTTTCTATTCAATCTTGTACTTGGCTCATTCTTGATCAGGAGTAATATTTTTACTGATTATGACTTTCTGAGGAGAGTTGAGGACTGAGGTCTCGGGAGCAGTCAGCCTGCAAAGGAATCCTTGTTCTGTGGTGACTTGGTACCTGGGAAGTTTTTCTCTCTCGGATGGAAAGGAACATTCCACTCTTTTCCTGTTTGCTCTTGCTGTTGTTTAGTTTTTGATTGTTTGTTTTGTTTTGAACCTTCTCAGCGGAGGATCCCCTGCAGACATGGATTTATACAAGTCTGTTTGGGGCAGAAGGAAGTTGGCGAGGGAGAATGCTCTCCGTGTTGTGTTCCCACATCGTGGCACTTGGTAATGATTTGCCTGTTGGATACATTCGTGAATGGCTTTTGTGAGGGACTTGAGCAAGACTAGAGACCATCCACGTTTCAAGTTTGACTATGCATATTCTGCACATTCCGCTGAAATTGGGAAAATGCAATGTTTTTGAAGGTAAGACTACTGCCTAGAGTCTAACAATATAAATAACACATTCACACCAAAAAAAGAGCTCACCTTACTCACCATTTTAAACAAGATAAATGTGCACTGTAACAAAAAGGTTCTGAAAACGGAATGTCATGTTAACCTGTACACAGAGTTGAACTATCAGAAGGAAACCAGGCTCTGTGACATGAGAGGACCAAAAAGAGATGATGCCATCTTATAAGTGCTCAGTGAATACATCTTCACCTGCCATCTCAGCAACTCCTTTTATGCCACTTGGCTATTGTGGTCTGCACTGACATCCTCCATCCAGAAGTAGCTAGCTGCGTTTTAGTGGTAGGCGGAGTTTCATAGACTGGATTCATTCTTCAACACTTCTGGGCTGACGTTGTGCCTTTAGAGTCCCCAGATGAAAATCTCTCATTGGTTAACGAAGAAGAAATGCCACGATTACGTAAAATAACTCATTGTGAAATGTTTCCCCCCTCCCATGATCTGGGAATGGAGTCACTGTAGAAGACTGTTGATTGTGTTATCCCCAGAGGCCATTTCATTAACCAGCTGTTCTATGGACAACTGGATAGCGTGCTTGACAAGAGAGGAGGCTGTTTCCATTAAGAGTGACTCATATTGTTCTGAAGTTCTCCCCTCAAAACCCCCTACTTCCTCATTTTCAATCGAAATTAAGAATTGCTTGGGGACATTTTTCGATTTCTTCACATCAAATTCACTAATCTCAGTGTCTGTAATAATAATAGCAATGGGCTCCATTCTTTTGTTTTCTTCCGGCTTGGGTTTCTCTGCACTGACCTCGGTTTCTTTAACATCGGGTTCCTGGCTCAACGCATCATCTTTTGGCTTCATCTCCTCAGCTACAATCTCTCCACTTTCCTGGTCTTTCCCGTTTGGCTCACTTTCCAGGACACGGTTTCTGGCTTCTTCCGCGATTTGCTGATCTGGGGATGCAGGTGAGAGGGGAGCATCAGAAACCACCGGTGGCTGATGTTCTGTTTCTGAAGTTTCCGGTGGGCTTGTCTGCTGGGGCTGGATACTCGGCTTTTCCTCCGTTGTTTCAATGTCTTGTTCAAGGATTAGAGTTCCTGTGTGAATAGCAGAATGCCCCTTTTCTAACCCAAGTTCTACCGAAATCACATTCTCTCCAGGAGAAGTTCCGCTGTTGCTCACATTTGACTCGCAGACCTCATCACCCCCGACCTGTGAGACCGCTCCACTCACTTCCTGGGTCAGCTGGGTCTTTGTTGCCTGGTCTTCATCCGATTGGGTTGGGGTTTTTGTATCCATCCTTTCTGCCTCTACCTGAACTTGGACGCTGCAGTCTGCATCTTCTATGATTTCGGAATGATGTCTTTTCTCCCCCTTGGAGAATTTTATGCAGGGAATCCTCAGTCTGGATTTTGCCTTTTTCTTAGGAAGATCAGCATCCTCGGCGCTGACTTCAGGTTGCACGTTGGCCTCGGAGGGCTTCTGCAGCTTGGAAGAGCCTGACCTTTTCCTGCGCGTCACTAGACGTTTTATTGAGGCCCAGGCCCCCGCCGGGGGCTGTGGCTGCTCAGAAGCTCCAGCTCCTGAACCGTACTCCCTGGCCGCGTCCACGGCTCCAGGGCCGGCTTTGGGCTTCGTGGCTTTGGCAGATTTCTTTCTTCTCTTGAAGCAAAGCATCGATGCCTTTTCCTCCTGCCTCTCATCCCGAGCTCTCACTTCTGCTGATCCCGTCTCATCCTTGCTCTCTACTTGAATGTCAGAAACTGGGGTCTCCATTTTTACAACACACTCTCTCGAAAAGGATAGTCTCTCTTCCTTAGCAGCCGATTACGACAAGAAGCTGGGCAAAAGGGTCACACTCAGCAGAATTTCTCCCAGGTGTGTTCACTCCTTTCTTCCAATTCCACACAGTTGTTTGAGGTGGTTTCTCCAGTAGGCAAATGCTTAGTTTCTCTAGTTCTTGTAATTTCTCTTTCATTTCTTCGTGAAAGCCCTTTACTTGACAGACTTGGTTTTAGTTAAAGATTAACCTGGTGAGAGAAAAGAAGATATTTTATTTCACCATCAGCCTGTTGTTTTCTATAGACAATTTCCATGGAATGTGTATGATTCTACCAGGCATGTTTCCCATATTATAACTTACTGAAAATGACTGGAGAATAAAAATCGGTGTTAACTTTTTAAATTGATTTTAGAGAGAGAGATAAAATCCATAGGTTGCCTCCTACTCACCTATACTCACCCCAACTGGAGATCGAACCTGCAACCCAGGTATGTACCCTGACTAGGAATCAAATCTGGGACACTTTGGTGCATGGGACAGTGCTCCAACCAACTGAACTATATCAGCCAGGTCTGGGGCTTAACTTTTACCTTGTAAAAAAAAAATGCAGTGTAAATACATTTTGCTCTAGTTTCTGTTAACACTTCATTTTTGGATTGTTTCTACAAATCTGATGTTATTATTTAAAAAAAATATTTTTATTGATTTTAGAGAGAGAGGAAGGGGGAGAGAGATCAATGAGAAACATCCAGGAGAGAGACATGAACTGGCTGCCTTCTGTATGTACCCTGTCCGGGGTTCAAACCTGCAACCTGGGTATGTGTCCTGACCAAGGAATTAAACTGGTGACCTTGGAGAGAAACAGAGGAGGAGAGACACAGAGAAACGTCGAACTATCTCACACCCATATCCGGCGTGCACCGTGATGCAACCGCAGAAAAATACGGCTCAGGAGACTAACCAGACCCCAGGGCCCATGCTTGCAGTACAGGATGTGGCTTTTATGGGAATCCTAGGACAAATGGAATGTGTTCTGTTTGCTACAAAGAGCATCTTCAGAGGCACAGAATAGTGGCAGAATGAGCCCAATGGGGGCAGCTAGTGGTTCCAACAGCCCTACCTCAGATTCTGCATCTGTGCAAAGAGCAGACGCTGGTTTAAACAACTGTGAAGGTGCTGCTGGCAGCATATCTGAAAAACCAAGAAATGTGCCTGTGGCTGCCTTGCCTGTAACTCAGCAAAGGACAGAAATGAGCGTTTCAAGAGAGGACAAAATGACTACCCCGAAGACAGAGGTGTCAGAGCCGGTTGTCACTCAGCCCAGTTCATCAGTTTCTCAACCCTGTACTTTTCAAAGCGAAGAAAAAACTCCCGAGTTATCCAAACCGAAGAAGAATAGATGTTTCATGTGCAGAAAGAAAGCTGGCCTTACTGGGTTTGACTGCCGATGTGGAAATTAGTTTTGTGGACTTCACCGTTACTTTGACAAGCACAACTGTCCATCTGATTACAAAGCAGAAGCTGCAGCAAAAATCAGAAAAGAGAATCCAGAGAATATAAATTTCTACTTGTGAAGAGACTGAAACTTTGTTTTTATTTTAATATATGGTAGGAAACATTATGCATGGCCATTTTCCAAAAGTAAATAAATAAATAAACTGGTGACCTTTTGATGCGTGAGTGGATGCTCAACCGACTGAGCTACGCAGGCCAGGGCTAGTTGTGCTGTCTTTATGGCTCTGAATTGCAAGTTAAACAGACAAAGAATGATGGTGATAAGGAAGCTAGTGTAATTTTTATTGCATGCAATCAGAAATTCGGAAGCTGAAAAGGATTTTAGAGATTATTTGAGATTAATCAAGTCCAGTCTGATGAAGAAATTGAGCATCGTAATGGACAGTTAGCCTGGAAAGCCATATAGTTGGGCAAGGTCATGACCATAGTTAGCACTGAAGACTCTGACTCTCCAATGCTCTTTCTGTTATACCATAAGGTTTCTGTTCTAAAAATGTAAGTTCCGCCAAGGAAGTGCTGCTTTTCATACATACTCTGGGGAAACGTAACATCGCTATGACTCGCCACCCTTAAATTTAGTTGTATACATTTTTTCTAAGTATTTGCTGTTCAAACATTTTCCATAATGAGCTCATAGTTGAAGGTCAGTAAGAGCAAACGATAGTAATCGCTGACACTTACTGAGGAACTTCTGTGTCTTAGGAAGTGCTAAGCACTTTTGTATACATATCTAATCCTCCCATTACAAAGTGAGTAGGTGGTGGTATCGCCGTCTACAAAGAAACAGGCTTAGAGGGGTTATGCAACGTGGCCGAGATTACACAGCTAGGAGGTATCAGAGCTCAGATTCCACCCCAGATTTTTTCTGAAACCCATGCTCTGAAATTGGGCTTTAAGTTTCATCAGAAAAATGAATTGTTTAGCCGAAACCGGTTTGGCTCAGTGGTAGAGCGTTGGTCTGCGGACTGAAAGGTCCCAGGTTCGATTCCAGTCAGGGGCATGTACATTGGTTGCAGGCACATCCCCGGTAGGGGGTGTGCAAGAGGCAGCTGGTTGGTGTTTCTCTCTCATCAACGTTTCTAGCTCTCTATCTCTCTCCCTTCCTTTCTGTAAAAAATCAATAAAAATATATTTAAAAAAAAGAAAAATGGAATTGTTTAAAGATGCTAATCTGTACTACATTCATTAGTCAAAAAAATTTAAAAATGTTTAATGGTTATTTAACCACTAGAGGCCTGGTGCACGAATTCGTGCACCGGTGGGGTCCCTCAGCCTGGCCTGCGAGGATTGGGCCAAAACTGGCTCTCCAACATCCTCCGAGGGGTCCCAAATTGCGAGAGGGTGCAGGCCAGGCTGAGGGACCCCACCAGTGCACAATCGGGGCCAGGGAGGGGAGGGAGAGGGCTCCAGAGTGTGTCTGGCCCATCTTGCCCAGTCCTGATCAGCCCAACCCCAGCAGCAAGCTAACCTACTGGTCAGAGCACCTGCCTCCTGGTGGTCAGAGTGCGGCATAGCTACCGGTTGAACAGTTGCTTAGGCTTTTATATATATAGACTATGTAGCCCATCAACTCATAATTGAATCAAGATTAGACTGAGTTCTTGCTATTTTAAAAATTAAGCTTTTGAAATTCTTAGATTTTATTTTCTTGGTTCTGGAACTATCATAATTCGAAAGCCAAATGTAAATAATAAACTTTACAACTGGCAAACTGGTTAGTTAGATTTAAATATAAAGATATATTTAAAAATTAACCCACAGAATGGTATGATGGTACCAACAAACAGAGGTCCGGGGTGACCATCTAACAAAAACTCCATGAATTCCAGTTGATGGATGTCCTGAAATAAGCAAAGGGACTCATCCCTTGGGCTGTTTTCATGCAAATCTTTCACTGTTGAAGGTTCCCTTGGGTAGTTCTTGCTTCTGTGAGCCACATAAGGAACTGGAACTCTGAAAATCAGTTTATGATCTAAGTGTTTCCTAAAGTTGGGTGTTACATACTACATGCTTCTGACAGCAAGACAGTCCTCTAGATAGCAAAAATGGAGCTTAAATAGGAACATGTAAAAGTGTCCCTCCTCATTGAATGCTTCTATCGGTACTAGAACCACAGCTGATTGGAGCTTTCTTTAAGTGGTCTCATCTCTTGTAAGTTCTTGGCTCCTGAAAACTTCTATTAACCAGAGGATGTATAACTAACAGAAATATTGAAATGAGAGCCGAAACAGGTTTGGCTCAGTGGTAGAGCATCGGTCTGCGGACTGAAAGGTCCCAGGTTTGATTCCGGTCAAGGACATGTACGTTGGTTGCGGGCACATTCCCGGTAGGGGCTGTGCAAGAGGCAGCTGATTGATGTTTCTCTCTCATCTACGTTTCTAGCTCTCTATCTCCCTTCCTCTCTGTAAAAAATCAATGAAATATATTTTAAAAAAATAAAAAAAAGAAATATTGAAATGAGAGGTCACGTCTGGGAATGTATCATTTGAACCTAACAGGGACAGCTGCTCGAGAAGCTCATGTGAATGACTCCCTCTCACTGTAGAAACAAGACAAATACCCAAACAAAAACCTAACTGCAATGGGGGACACGCAGTCTGTAGACATTAAAACTTTGCAGAATGTTAGGCTGCAAGCGATTCCTCCTTCAGCTTAAAGTTACCGGTTATTATCGTTTCCGCATAGAATCGAAAGAGTAAAGCCCCAGGGAACACCCCTGCCCCCTTCCCCTGGAAGCGGAGCAGCGCGGAGGGAAGAGCGAGCGCTCCCCGGGAAAGCGGTGACTCCCCGGCGGCAGCTGCGGGCCGCGGAGCTCCCTCGGAGGAAGGCGCCTCGTTCAGCGGGGGGAGCCTTTTGGCAGGAGCTCCGCTCGGGATAAACTCAAAAAGGAAAGTGCCGGGGGCGTGCGACGGATAACCCAGCTTCCAGCTCTCTGCACAACCAGGAACCCCAGTCCCTTCCCCTCCGACATAGGGCGAAGGAGGAAAAATCCACCGCAACCCCTGCGTCCAGGGCGAGCTGTCAGGCAGCGGGCAGGCTGCGCACAGCCCGGGAGGGTCGCGCTGGCTGGAGATCCGTGCGGACCAGTGACCTCCCCGCCTCTCACCCCGGCCGTCTCCGGAGGCGCAGATCCGGGGTGCGGGGGCTCCTCCCGCCCACCTCGCCGCCCGCAGGGTCAGCGGGGACCGGACACCGGCCCGCACCTTCTCCTCCCGCCACCTCCTCGCCCTCCTCCACTTACCGATGGCGCCGGGTCCGAGACCAGGGGTCCCCGCCGCTCCGTGCGGGGGAGAGGGCGGGCGCCGGCGGGCCGGCCACCCAGGCAGCGGGGGAGCCGCGGGCGCACCGGAGCAGCAGCCGCCGCAGAGGGACCGCAGCCCGCGGCGCCCCCTCCCCAGGGCGCGGACTGACAGCGGCGGCGCCAATGCGCGCGGAGCGGCGGCGCGGGGCGGGGCCAGGGCTGGGGGCTGCGGCGGGCGGGGGGCGGAGGAGGGCAGGGAGGAAGGGGGCAGAGGGGAGGGCGGGGATCCGCGGGGCCACCTGCGGGAGGTCTACCCGGGTGGGAGCAGACCTCCAGGCAAGGGCAGGGGGACCGTGGAGAGAGCCGAGGATCGGGAGGGGACCCGGGTAGGGAGCCCCATATTTTCTGAGATGCAAAGTATCAAAATCTGGTTTTCAGTGATAGGCATTTCTCCTTAGAAGCCCCACACCATCCCAAACCGAATGTTTAAAGACACGGCAGATGCAGCATTGTAAAAGCAGGCTTTAAAAGTGCAGCGCGGGCTCTGGCCTTGTGGCTTAGTTGGTTGGGCATCGAGTCGTGCACCGAAAGGTGGCCGGTTTGATTCCCGGCCAGGGCACATGCCCAGGCGGCGGGCTCAATGCTCCATAGGGGCATGCAGGAGGCAGCTGACCCATGTTTCACATCCATGGTTCTTGCTCCCTTTCTCTTCTTCTCTCTCTAAAATTCAATTTTAAAAATGTATATATTTTTAAAGTGCCTGGTGGGCTCTGGCCGGCAGCTCAGTTGGTTAGAGCGTCGTCCCAATGTGGCCAGGGTACAGGTTCAGTCCCAGATGAGGGCACAGACAGGAAGCAACCAATGAATGCATAACGAAGTGAAACAATACATGGATGGTTCTCTCTCCTCTCAAATCGGTAAGTAAAAACAAAAACCTGTGCTGCGTGTTTGGATCTCGTTCGTTTGGAGAGAAAATCACATAAACGAACTGAAACAATAACAACAAAACTCTTTCCTAGGAGTGGGTTTGGGTGTAATGACGTTATTGTGGCTCATGGCCAAACGGGCTGTCAGAGGCCAAAGCCCAGGCCCGGGGGAGAGAGGACCGCTCTATGTGCACAAGGTGAGAAGCGCACAGGAACCCAGCCCCGCCCGACTTTTATGCCTTGAATATTTATTTCCAAGAATAAGTTGAGGTAGCTTACACCCATATTTCCCTTCAGGGCATTCCTATCAGCTGGTTTAACCTTGTCCCTCTCAGCTGAGCCGAGTGGGGGTGGGGCAGGTGGAGAGGCTTTCCTTACAGTTCCAGTCCCTTCAGAGCCCAGGGCTCTGCCTGGCTGGCTAGGTTGTGTATTTTCATGCATTTTTCTGAATCTTAAATAAGTATTTTAGGGAGAGAGAGTTAGAGGAAGAAATATAGAGGATGCCCCCTCTCCCGGCCCCCAGAATCCAGCCTGTAACCCAGGCATGTGCCCTGACCAGGTACAGAACCAGTAACCTTTGGTGCTTGGGAGGACACCCTACCAACTGGCCCACACCGGCCAGGGCCGTTTTCTGAATCCTTAAACAAGCTGCTGGCCACAGTGAAAAGCACCACAAGCCTGTATCTGTACACAGAACACACCGTTTTCACGAACACCTAGGAGAGGTGTTGCTAGGGGAGCTCAGGGTGACTTGCTCTGGGTGTAATATTGCCTACAAGGGCACTCCTGGGAGCTCCTGCTGTGATCCCGCAGGATGCTCACTTCCTGCCTCCTCCTCCAGCCCCTCCCAAGGGCACCATCCAGAGGAAGAACCTGTTACTGTGGAGGGAAAACTACTGAACCGCAGCTGTCCTCACACCCTTTCTTCAATAGGATCATGATTAAGGAAAGAACTATGAGGACACAATAGCAAAGCTGCATCCAAGTTGTCAAGATCTTAAATCCATAGAAGAGACAACAATTGTAAGACAAGAAAACCCAGATGCATCTAGTTTAGTTGTGATTAAGAATTCAATTTATCTGTTCACTCAGGGAACCGCAGTCTGTGGATATGACCTTTACAGCCTCAGGGGGCTGCTAACCCTGCTCACTGCGTTTTGAACTTTAGCCCCACGAAACCCATACCCGCATGACCAATTGAGTTGCTATTACCCACTGAGATCAAGTTTTCTCAAATCCAGATCTGGGAGTTCGCAACACTCCAGGCAAAAATAAGATGAGCTTATTTATTGAAGACAAGGTAGCATAGCTGTGTTATTAGGAAATAGTTGAAAGTAAAATAAGGGACAGGTTAAAACAATAAAGTCCACCTTAATAACTTGTAGATCTTATTCCACTTGCTTTTCTTTTTTTAAAAATTATCTTTATAGATGATCCAGTTTCCCCAATTACCCACCCCACTGTCCCCCGCTCCCCCCGCCAACACACACACACCACAGCCCCACTTGCGTTTCTTTCTTTTTTAAATCCTCAACTGAGGACATATTTTTTTAATTATTATTATTATTTTTTTAGAGAAAGAGTGGAGGGGAGGGAGGTGTGGGAGTGAAGAAAGATCAATGTGAGAGAGACACATCAATTAGTTGCCTCCCCCATGCACCCTAACTAGGGCTGGGATTGAGCCCGCAACTGAGGTACAAAATATTGATGGGGCCTAAACCGGTTTGGCTCAGTGGTGGAGCGTCGGTCTGTGGACTGGGGGGTCCCGGGTTCGATTCCAGTCAAGGGCATGTACACTGGTTGCGGGCACATCCCCGGTGGAGGGTGTGCAGGAGGCCAGCTGGTCGATGTTTCTCTCTCGACATTTCTGGCTCTCTGACCCTCTCTCCTCCTCTCTGTAAAAAAATCAATAAAATATATTTAAAAAAAAATATTGATGGGAAGTCGAACCCTTTGGTCCATGGGCTGATGCTCTAACCACTGAGCTTCCAACCAGGGCCCATTTGCTTTTCTTAAAAGAAAAAGAGATTAGTGAAAGGGAACTGAAGGGTGGCTTGAGGTAAGAGATGAATTGATTTTGTATTTTAGAGGGCAGATTTCTTTAAGGTCTATTACACATAATTCATCCCTGATCTCTACCACACACACACACACACACACACACACACACTGACAGCTATACTATAAATAAAATACTGCACTGTGGTTTTTCTTTGCGATGTAAGAATTCAATGCCATACTTTAGTTTTTTAAAAAATGCACCCAGTATCTCACGCACGAAAGAAATCTGTCATCCCTGAACTCACTTAAGTGACAGGAAGCTGTTCCCCTTATCATTGTCAGCTATTCCCCCAGTAGCTTTTCATTATATAATGAGAAACAGGCTATAAATATATCTATCCCCTCTGATGAGAAATTATCCTACCTACAGATTATCTTGTTAGCATCACCAGATCCAGTGCGCCAATAAAACAGAGCTTACATATTTATCTGATCTCTACTCACCATACCATTTCTCCCATCCTCGTTCCTATCCACCCACAGCCTGGGCCTGACACTACCAAAAATGGTCTATAACTCTTTGGTAACACTTCCTACATTTCAGAGATCTGGGAATAAGCCTCCACCCCTTCTTTCCCGGCACCCCACTAAGTGAACCGGTGACTCCAGCTCTCTGCTGGTTGGATCTGTGCCGAGGCACCATGAGGGCTGCACCAGCCAACACAAGCTCAACAGCGATTCTGTTGTCGTCTGCCTCACTTGACAGCACATACACGCTGTCTCTCTTTGGAATGAAGAGTGTATATACATCTCCAGTGCATAGCAACAGCCTCTGAGGTACAGATCAGAGAAGCTGCAATCTGTCAGTGATATTACGAGTACAGGGAGGGAAGGCATTCCTAGGAGCCCAGAGGATAGAAATGGGGAAGGGAGGCCAGTGATCTGGAAGGACTCGGCCCCAAAGTAAATGCTCTGGACTGTCTCTGGCAACAATTCTCCTGTCGGTTTTGAATCCAGGTCTCCAATTAGCCAGCAGTGTTTTTGTTCTGTGTGCCTCCTCTTTATTATACCTCTACTCTTATCAGATTAAAGAATCAATTCCATAAAACCCAAGGCATCAATAATTGCTTGACAGCCTTCTTAACCTCTTTATTTCTTCCACCTTGTATTGTCCCTTCCTTCTGAACAGATGTGAAAGGGGCACAGCTTTCCACCTGCCACAAGTGGGACGTCCATTTCTGGGCAACCTGGCAGGAGGAGCTCTGAACGGCAGAATGATGGTAAAGAGCAGAGGCTTTGGAGTCACATGACCTTAGCAAGTTCATCTGGTGGGCAGCAGCAGTGCAATTCAAAGTGCTGATGAAGTAAGAGCTCTAAGATTTATCACCAATTGAAAAAAGCAATTTGTAACATTTGAATTTAACCAGACCCTCAAGGATATGAAAAAGGACCAACTACAATAGAAATTAAACATACACTGACTGAAATAAAAAATATTATACAGAGACCCAACAGCATACTAGAGGAACGCAAGATTAAAGTCAAATATTCGAAATACAAAGAAGCAAAAGACACTCAACTGGAAAAGCAAAAAGAAAAAAAAAAATCCAAATATATGAAGACAGTATAAGGAGCCTCTGGGACAACCTCAAACATACCAATATCCGAATTATGGGGGTGCCAGAAGAAGTGAGAGAGCAAGATACTGAAAACATATTTGAAGAAATAATGTCTGAAAACTTCCCCCACCTGGTGAAAGAAATAGACTTACTTACAAGTCCAGGAAGTGCAGAGAACCCCAAACAAAAGGAATCCAAAGAGGACCACTTCAAGACATAATCTTTTAAAAACATCATAATTAAAATGCCAAGAGCAAAAGACAAAGAGAAAAAAAGCAGTAAGAGAATAACAATAAGCTACAAGGAAGCACCCAAATGACTGTCAGCTGATTTCTCAACAGAAACTATGCAAGACAGATAGGACTGGCAAGAAATATTCAAAGTGATGAATAGCAAGAACCTACAATCAAGATTACTCTACCCAGCAAAGCTATCATTCAGAATTGAAGGTCAGATAAAAAGCTTCACAGACAAGGAAAAGCTAAAGGAGTTCACCACCGCCAAACCAGTATTATATGAAATGGTTTTTTAAGAAGAGGAAGAAGAAAAAGCTAAAGATAAAAATTATGAACAACAAATACATATCTATCAACAAGTG